CAACATTCTCCTCAAAAAGCTTGGAAAATTAATTTTCGCTGACAACTTGACGTGGTTTCAAAAGCGTACAGCAGCTTTCAATGCACCTTAGAAATAGCCATAACACCGTAAACCTGGAAAGAATTCATAAACGTCAGGAAAGTGTTATTCCATCGGTAGTTGGTGAAGCTTTCTAATAATCACCAAAAAATGACTAGTTGCCTTATTTCCACAGACTCAAAACGTCCCACTACTCCCACAAACCTCTTTTGTCCCCCGCGATCCCGCGTCCATGTTGGTAGTGAAGAGATTTGCTTGTAACATCCACGCTGCCAATACCTCAGTCTCATTCTTGGCTGGAAATAAGGCCTTATTACATGCTGAGGACAATTCGAACAAAGCAGTTGGTTAGTATAGTTTCACGAATTTCGAGTTCCCAACAAATTCGCATCCGCATTCGACCAATGCCACAGAAAGGCTAGTATAAGTCGAGTGTGCAATACAAGCGACAGAGAACGTTTAGCTGCAGTCCAACACGATCGAATCATTGATAGGAGTGGAAACTCTACCAGATGTGACATTTCATGGTCGTAGAACCAATACTTTTCCCAAACCTCGACAGACATCACAACGATGAATGTGGGTGGGGTGCAATACCAACCGAGGGCCTGGTGTATCAGATATGATGAACCAGTTCACCCATTCCCACCCTATTGGCTCCCGCCATTCCCGCACGCACGCACATGGCCAAGCCAGCCCAGTGCAGTGGTGGCTATGTTGCAGCAGTGTAAAGCAAATTCGTGCTGTGACGGTCGGTCGGTTGGTTGGACGTGTGTGATAATGCGACAGTAATCAGAATGCAGTAGTAAGGATGCTCGGCTTACATTTCCTCATCCTCTTCCTTCTTCGTGTGCAATCAACCCACTCCATCGACTGTGACCTCTGCTTTAGGCCACAACTACTCAGGAGTACTCAGCTGCCACAGCCCTATTCTAAGGCCCCTTTAAAGTCCTCCAACACCGTGCAACAACCCGTCCTCCAGTCTGGTGAGATGATGCGCCTCCTAGTGAACTGTTCCTGCTGCGACAAAACCGCCTCCATTGCAGAACATTTCTCCACTCCAGGAGCTCTTTTCTATCGCATATTCACGGAGAACCGATACTCCACGATCATTAGTCGGCAGCCTAATGTTGATCCAGTGATCCGTAGTCGGTTTGAATCCGCCGGAGATATGTCCACCAAATACGATGAGTGTCGAAACTATCCGCTGTGTGCAGTGCTCTACACACCGGTGACAAGCAATAATCAAGTCACCAATTACCTTTTTTGGGTAGAAGCGAACCTAATTGGTCGTAGTGCAATTCGAGTGGAACTGGTTTGGATCAATGCGACACAGCGTGAACAACCCGACGATATTCCTCTTCCCTCAGCACTGGGAGAGAAGGAGATTCGCAAGCTAAAGAAGAACAACAGGATTACGAGAAACAAACGCTTCAACTTTCAGGTAGTGAAGCAAGGCAGAGTGGCAGGCACAGTCAACACCACTGCCTCACATGTCACGGTGTTTTTGAAGCCCCAGCTCTTCTATACAGTCTTTGATTGGTCTGTCCTCTTTGTGGCAGGCACAGTTGCACTCTCAGCTGGATGCAATACCAATCCACAGGCATTTGTGCGTCAACTGAAACGAAAACCTCTGGCGATTGCAATAGGACTTGCCATTCACCTTTTCATCACTCCGTTGGTAAGAAATTATTTCCATCCAGTACAACTTAGATGGCATGACTGTGGATCGAAAATAATGTGAAAGCGAAGTAGGACCTAGTAACAATGTAGACAAAATTGGACAGCGCAAACTGTTCGTCATTTATAGTAAGCAAAATAGTGCTTACTTGCCGCTGGTCCGTCGCTGCTAATGAGTAAGCACGGAAGGACATGAGAACTGCTAGCTAGGAAATGGATAGATCAGACTCATCTTCCTCATGCACAA